TTTTTTTAAACGCACGGTCTCCGGCGAAAAATATAAGCCTACCCGACACCAACCTGACTTCTACCAAACCCCAACCCGATGTTGGCCCGACATTGACCCGACATAAACACAGAATTTACCCGACATCGACCCGACATTTGGCCGATGTTGACCATAAATTGACCTTACATTGATCCGACATCGGGCCGACATATCTGTTCGGGATCATTCTTCTGGGTTTCTTCCATACTCCACTGCCGTATATCAATTGTATATAATGTCTCGTGACAGCCTTTTCGTGACAGCCACTTGGGTAAGCTGAGGGATGTCGTCGGTTTGTGAAGGCTGTTATGACGACAGAAACATTGAGAACCTGGTCATAAAGAAATGCATAAATACAGCCCATTCGGTTCACTACGTTCCAAGCACGATGATTTTAGCAAAGCGGGTATAGATGCGACTGTTCTAATACAGCTTTCATTCGTTCGTGTGTGCGCTGTTACCAATACACTTCGAATTCAGATCTGAACGTACGGTAGCAAGCGGTAGTAAAGCACACAAAGCAACAGTCAATTCAGGTATAAACCAACTGTCGCGAGGAGGCTGTACTTTTTGGAAGCCTGCTCTCCCAACGCAGGCTTCGAATCGTCGAAAGGAAGTCGCACGATGAAGCGTCCCGAATCGTCCCGAGAGAGTGTGGACTGGAAGAACTCAGCCGCCGCCTGTTCCGAAGGAGTAAGCTGTTGTGGCTTTGGAACCTCCTCCTGCTCCCAAAACTGTCGCAATGTGCGGTTGATGTCCACCTCGGCATGTAGATTGATGATGGAGAAATTGTTAGGTACATCTGTCGTATAGATAGTTTGATTACCAGATACGATCCACCCAAATATCGTGTTCTGGGCCACAGAAGTACCGCATTTGTCCTTGACTTGCCCCGATTGGAGAATAGCAAGAAAGACATCCGAACCCAAAATTATATCGATTGGCCCCGGCTGGTTGAATGCCGGATCCGCTAGCGTTTCCTGAATCTCCTTCTCCAACAGCTTCGTGTTCACCTCGACGCGTTGAGCAGGCAACGTTGACGTCAGCTTACCCATTACGAACGCACTAGTTCGTAGAATTACCGTTTCGTTGAACCGATTTGCCATGATAAGCTTTACGACTCCACGAGTTGTCCCTGCATGCTGTTGCCCTAGTCCAGAGACTTCGCTTCCTTATTAGTTCTGGTGGAACCTGAGCCACCAGTGAGTTGACTACAGGATCTGAATCTTGCGCTCCTTGTACAGACTGCTTCGGCTCGGTAGAACATTCTTCATGCTGATCTGATCCATCTCCCTTTGGGCACAATAGCGTATGGTGCCGTTGTTAACAGTCCGCATTGCGACACACCGATTTCGAGGTACACACTCTCACTGAATGCAAAGGACGTAGACAGTTATAGCACAACTTCGCCTGTTGTACTAGTTCACGTTTGCACTGTAGGTCCATCTTCTTAAAATCTTCACACAGATAAATCGGATGCTCACTGGAGCATTTCGCGCACTTTTGTATCACTGAGTTCGTATACAACGACTGCATCCTTTTCTCCGGCTGAGACATCTTCTTCACAGGATCCGCTGCATACTTCGAAAAGGCCATACAGGTTTCCAGCGCGTCGCACCGGTTGTCCAAAAATTTCAGGAACTCCTCGAAGGACGGATTCTCAACGTCGATTATCTTCTGAGCCCACAAGGATCTGGTATCCTTATCCAGCTTCTCCAACAACAGGTGGATCAGCCACGGATCTCGCTGATTGTACTCCTCTCCCAGAGCATTTAGTTGTCGAACAACCTCATCCGAAGTTGTGACCAGTTTGCGGAGGCTTGCGGTAGTGGCGGTGTTGACCACAGGCTGGTCAACGAATTCACGAACAAGAGCAAAAACCGTATATTTTTTCTTGTCGTAGAAGCTTGAAAGAGCCGCCCACGCTTCCTTGTAATTAGCGTCCGATATTGGGAATGAACTTACCAGACGTTTGGCATCACCCGCCAGATACAACACCAAGTACTGCATTTTCAACGAATCGCGCAGATCGTTGCGTACGTGGATTATCTGCTCAAAAATATCCTTGAAGGCTCTCCAATTCTTTCGCTCACCATCGAAAGTTGGTACACTGATCGGAGGAAGTCGCACATTTAGGAGGGGTGCATGATTCGACACCTGTTCTCCTCCAGCTGGATCCACACCACGACCATTATACGCGAAATTTCTACTGCTGCTTGCCATCGATTGGTTCACCATCAATGCTCGCTGAGTTTCCAACAGCATTTGCATCGCTTCCCGAAGATCTCTGCTAGAACCAGCCACCGATCGGTAGCTTGCAGTGGAGCCCCGATTTGAACTGGTGACGGAACCTTCCTCGTCGCTTTCGTTGTTGCCCTGGGAAATGTACCGCTCAAGGGCATCCTTCGCTCGATAATAGTACGTGTTGAATTCCTCCCGAAAGTTATGCACCGAGGTAATTGCTTCCGGGTCCGTTTGATTCTCCTCTATCTCGCTTTGCGTCTGCCGGAATTTTATTGCGAGCTCCTTAAGCTGCTCGAGCCGATCTTCCACTTCCCCATGCGATGCATTTCGCTCGTGGATTGTTTCGGCTGCAGCTGACTCCCCCTTCATTTGCACCAACTGAGCATTTCTACGACCGATCAACTTATCCATCACGATTCGCGACGTTATCCGACGACGAAGGACCAAATGTACAAAACCGAATTCCGACGGAACACGGAGACAAGGAAAAAAACCGACGATGTCACTTTGCTAATTCAACTTTTTAATTTTCTCTGTTTTTTTGTTGTTTACAGTTCGATGGTTTTAAGCGAACCCTACACGATTGCTTTTATTGACAATAATCGTATTGTCAATACATACTATATTGACGTCAATATATCGAGATTGACAATATTTCTGAATTCACATCATCAATATTATTGTCAATAATTCCCCTTCGCGTCAATATATTGATGCGTGTGGGGTTCGCTTTACATGTTATGTTTTTGCAAGGAAAAAACATGTGCTAATCGCTTCTGCACTGACAGATGGGTGCAAGGTAGATGCGGATCAATGAGCTGGATTACCGAGGTGAAGCAATCACTCACACAACCACTGTACGATACACGCAAGTACACGCAAGTAGTGACGTCACTACTTGCGTTTACGTTGATTTTTTGGTTTACTAATACAACCCTATTTCACGATCTGCGCCACCTCTCTCTGTACCTCATTGGATGCGGATGTGGTGTACGATTAGAATTGGGGGCTCTCGCACCGGAACAGACGATTGACGAGTGCACGGATGGATTTGAGTTCACTCACTCGACAAAAAGTGACACAACAGCGGGGCCCTGTTTACTAAAAATGAACACATGAATAATACTCGCGTAACATTTGAAAAGGGCCTATCAACTTTTGTAAATAATTTGCTAGGTCCTTTTCACGAGAACCGAAGTACGCCCACGCAAACCAAGAGCACTATGGGGAAGGGGAGAATTTCCTTTGCCCGATGGTGTTGGTAGTCTACGTGAGCGTATTCGGTTCGCGCGAAAAAGGCTTAACAAGTTTTGTGTACATAAGTTGATAGACCCGTTTCAAATGTTACGTGAGTATTATTCATGTGTTCATTTTTAGTAAACAGGGCCCCGCTGTTGTGTCACTTTTTGTCGAGTGAGTGAACTCAAATTCATTCGTGCACTCGTCAATTATAGTAACGAACTGCACTTTGCACTAACAAACCGGTACAACTTTACAAGTCTACTGAACGGGGAAAACGAAGAACGATAGAACCGACCATAAATTTCACGTGTTTTCGTGTCTGGCGGATAGAATCTCGGGAATCATCGGGAGTTGTCAAATAGCGATATCAATCGAGCAAATCACGACCAACAACAGAAAAGAGCAAATCAGCTATTGCGAATAAAACTTCGATGAGGCATAACAATCTTTGGTCACACGCAAGCAAAAGAACGTAAGAATTCCATAAGAAACACTTATGAATTTTAGCCATAAGAAATGAGTGTGAATTTCATTGATTTGGCTTATGAAAAATAATGTTGACAAAAAAAAATAATAAATCGGAGCAGACTGTAACCGGAAAATAGACGTTGAGGTTAGGGGGCCCGTGTGTTGACCACTCGTCTGTCAACGCTTGGGAAAATGAAATGGTTATAGGCGTATAAGAGCTACCTCATGTTACCCGAAAATCATTCATAAGTCACGCTTATGAAATTCATATATGTTGTTCATAAGTCGAGCCTTATGAAATTCTTAGGTCTATTTGCCTCAGTGCACGTCTTCCTTCGGAAGGGAATTGAAGCCGTTGGTCCCGGCCCATGTGTGTTGTGAATGGGTGCGATATCCTATGCAGGTGTGGAAGATGCCTGCCTGCACATTCGATGTCCGTCGGTGATTGGCACTAGATTGCGGAACAGAGACCGATGTTAAATAAAGGAAATAAGAAAAAGAAGAAGAACAAAACTTCGGAAATCCGTTTCTCGTGACTCAAGGCTCGCTTTCGCAAACTAACACCATCTTTGGGTTGGAGACTATGGCTTATATCATGTAATAAAGGATTTCTTGCAATGAGCCCTCGTACATCTAGTTTTCACTTGAAATCCTATATATGAGTGCTCATTCATACATATGATTTCCAGTGAAAACTAGATGTATGAGAGCTCATTGGAAGACATTCTATATTACATGATATTAGCCATAGTCTGTACCGGGTATTAGGAACAAATTTGGGCTTCCTTAAAGCTTGAACAGCTTCCTAAAAGCCTGCTGATATAGGGTGAGAAGTTCCAGTTCCGCAAGTCTTCTACCCTAGTTTTGATGATTTGTCCTATCTGGAAAAAAAAATTAGGTTTTTCAATAAGCTTCCTTCGCCTAAAATATCTATCAAAAATCCCACCCATAATTTAAGGTTTTATAACAAAATATAACGTTTTCCAAAAACTTCAAAATCCAAGAATATTATATTTTTCTACCAGCTCCCACCCACCCGCAAGTCCTACCGAATCTCCCATGGAAGCAACAGCTGCAAAACGACCCATCACTTCTCCGCCAGCTGAAGGAGCTGAAAGACCTGAATCTGTTTGAACTGCTCGAGCAACGGTTAGCGTCCGGCAATACCAGCCTCGCCTCCGATGCCAGTACCCTGCTGAAACTGCTGGCAGAAAACAGTGTAGACGTATCCGGAATCTTAGGGCTTTCTGATTCCACGATCGTCCCAACATTCGCTGCGCCGAAAAACCCGGAGGAACCTTTAGTCGAACCGGAAGAGGTCTCTTCATGCTTGCAAATCCACCCTGTTCCGGATCCCAAACGGCACTTTCTCAAAGATGATGATTACTCGAGTGGCTCGAGTAGTTCGAGTGGTTCCTCGGATAGTGAATCAGACGATGATGAAGGTAAAATACATGTTCACTTTGCGGACGACCCGGACAGGTCACATGAGATCGACACGGACGTGGAATCGCAACTCGAAACGGTGAACTTCAGTCGGATGTCTACACCAAAGGATAAACCGAAAGATCGTAGGTCAGCAGACGCGGAGGACGAACCAACGGTAACCGAAAAAGGTGACCAAGAGCAGAAACGAATCAGGGAAGATATTCTGGAGAAGAGTGAGCTGCTTAAGCAACGGTTGACCGAATTGGAGACTGAAATTGAGAGCTTCCGTAAGGAAAATTCCGAATTGATGCGAATGAAGCAGGAACACGAGCTGGAGAAGATCAAGCTAGAGCAAGATCGCGAGGAAATGATGGAGAAACTGAATGATGAGCGTATCAAGATGGAGGTTTACTTTCACGACGAGCGGATAAAGATCGACGATGAGAGGCAGAAGGCGCTGAAAGAAGCTTTGAAGCCGACGAAGAAAGAGAAGGAGGAGATCCTAAGACTGAAGGAACAGATAGCCGACATGCAGAAAGAATCGAAAGCCAAGGAAACTAAGCATGCTTCTTCGTTGGCACGATTTAGATCTCAAATCAAAAATCTGGAGAAAGATCTCAGGGAAACCCAGCTGGAACTGGAAGTTATCAAAAAAGATAATAAGAAACTAGAAACTGAGAATGCGCGTCTCAAGCGACAAAACAACAATCGTATGCTGTTGGAAATCAACAAGAATTTGGCCAAGCTGGCTGCTCCATCAGCGGAACCATCTAGTGAATCCCGAAGGAACTCATCGCCGGAAAAGCCGCGGAAAAATACCTGCTTTGCCAAAATTAAGCCTATTGAGGTTTTGGAGAAAAATATAGCTGGAAAAGTGGCCAAAGTTAATGTGATAAGCCATCCGCGAGGAAGAACGGAGAGTAGAAGGTCGAAGCTTTCCAGTAGTGAAAGTGAGACGGACTCTGAACCTGCGGTATTGGAGAATTCGTCGAGTTCGAGTGAGGATACCAGTTCTGGAAAAGCAGAACGATCGCGGTCGTCGTATTTCCAGGGTAAGGCGAAGAAGGGTCTGTTCCAAGCTGAGACCAACGATCAAAATCAACTAGGGACAGACAAGAGTCCAAAAACTGCCGAACTCATCAACAGTCTCAAGCGGGAAACGGTCAACGAGGATGGAAGTAGAGACATATGGTACCCTAACGGAAATTTGAAAAAGATTTCACCGGATGGGCTCGTGATACGGATGTTGTACTTCAACAAGGACATCAAGGAGACAAACATGAGCGAAGGAACGACCAAGTACTATTATTACGAAACAAATACCTGGCACACGACCTATCTGGACGGATTGGAGATACTGGAATTTCCTGAGTAAGTATATTCTTCTGGCTGGGGAGGTTGTTTCCGATAGTAATCTAGAAAACGTTTTACAGTGGTCAAACGGAACATCGCTTCAAGGACGGCTCAACTGAGGTGCATTTTCCGAACGGGTCGATCCGCACGACAAATCCGAATAGTGTGGACATTGCTGAAGAGTGGAAGTATCCCGATGGGTCGACGGTGATCATCAAGAAGAACGATGACAAGGTGATCAACCTTCCGAACGGGCAGGTGGAGATCCACACGAAGGTGCATAAGCGACGCATCTATCCGGACGGTACGATCAAGTTTCTGTATCCGGACGGGAGCCAGGAAAGTCGGTATTCGAATGGACGCGTCCGACTGAAAGACAAGGATGGGAAGCTCGTTTCCGACACGGGAGGAACGGGTTGAATCGGACAGCAGTACAAGTAAGTGGCAAGATGATTGTTGTAGATTGTAATACATTTTATATTGAAAAAAAAAGAAGATTTCTTCCCGGGTGATTTATGCTAGAATTTGACAGAACTTTATCCCAGGAATTCCTCAATGCAGATTGTTCGTTGTATTTTGTCGTTGTTGCATTGTTTTTAATTATTCATACATGACTCATATATGACGACAAACGAGCTAATCCAGGGTCATATTTTAAAACAACAAGTCGCCTAAAGGCCGGAAATCGATATCCGATGCCATTGGTCTATTTAAAAAGTGACGCGAGAAATCTTCTTAAGTGTAATATTGTTGTAAAGTTATGATAATTCCACTTTTGAAATGACAATTTATGCCAAGTTGGCGATTGATTTTCAAAATGGTGGGTCTTTTATAAAATGGTATTGACAATTGGGTTTGAAAATGGGCCAAATTTGCGTGACTTAATTAATGGACCATCCCATATAAGATGGTGGTAGATTTTCAAAATGGTGGATTTAACATGGCGGGTCGGTGATGAAATTGTCGATCTTATTAAGTTGTCGATTTAATATCGTTTGAATTCTGCTATTGCAATGACAATTCAAATTTCAAGATTGTGGATGATTTTCAAAATGGTGGATAACTGGTTCCAAACGTAAACAAGCCATAAGAAACCTACAGGGTTTGTCTACGTTTGGAACCAATTTCATACAATAATGATCAGTAGGCTGATTTGACACCCCTTCCCCCTCAGGTTAATGCAACATCAAATTCAAATCCACGATGGTGATTGAATTGTCATTAGAGCGAAACTGCTTATGTAAACAATTACTTCAACCACAGATTTCTCGCAAATTAAAGCTCACTATTGAAAATTAACAGCTGGGATCACTGCTCTACCTGTTGGTGTCATTACTTTGCATCAGGCTTGCAATTGCTCATTACAGCTAAAATGCTGTTTTTCGGTATTATGAAACAATGGGATACTATAATGATAATTTTTATTTGTAAGATGCAAGAAGAGGTGGTAAAGTTTGTATATAACATATAAAATTTGTCAAATTTGCTTTCAGAAGGTCACAATTAGCGATTTAGCTGTAACGATGAGCAATGCGATGAGCGAGCAATCAGCGATCATGAAATCGCTAGTTGTGACCTTCTGAAAGCAAATTTGACAAATTTTATATGTCATATACAAACTTTACCACCTCTTCTTGCATCTTACAAAGAAAAATTATCATTATAGTATCCCATTGTTTCATAATACCGAAAAATAGCATTTTAGCTGTAATGAGCAATTGCAAGCCTGCTTTGCATGTGTTAGCTTTTAATCGCGAGAAATCTGCGGTTGAAGTAATTGTTTACAAAAGCAGTTTCGCCTTTTTGAAATGTTGACATAGATTTGTTTCAGTGTATTATGTGATATGTGTATTAAATTTGGCCGATAAGGCATCAGCTACCGCGAAACGAAGAAAAAGAAAAGACGACGAGTAACTGTCAAAACCGATTACAAAATCAAAACAAACTGCATGCGGGTGATCACGATTTTCAACCTGCAACCCGTTCAATTTTACAATTTTATCGCGAAAAAAGTCCTGAAACATTTATAAAATATCTATAGCAATGTCCTTCATTGGCATCAGCAGCAGCCTGGTGCGCTCCATTCCGCGCTCGCTACTTTTTGGTAAGTGTTATCTTTGCTTCCGCAGACGGTCAACATATACAGCGTTCGATTGTTTTAGCAAACCACAGTCGACAAGTGCATCGCTGGGTAGGCCCAACCCTGAGGGAGCTGAAACACCGTCGGGAAAAGATGGGCCCGGAAGCCGAACTACCCCGCTCGTCGCATAGCGATTGGAACTACAAAGCCGAAATATTTGCCTTTGGGAAACGCCTATCGGAGCAGTTCGATGCGGCTGTCCTTCAGCAGGCATTCACTCACCGCTCGTTCATTGCGCAAGAGGAACAGAAGCAACTGGACGTGGGCATTGAGCAGCCGGAACTGGGACTTAAAGATAACCGACAGTTGGTTCAGCTCGGCGAGCAGCTGATTCAAGAGTACGTGGAAGCGTTTCTGCTGACGACACTGCCCAAGCTTCCGACTGAGGGAATCCGGGCGATTGCTAATGGTATGACTTTTTCGGATAAACTGGCCGATGTTTCTAAGCATCTGGGAACGAAGGACATCATTTTGGCAGCTGAATTCCCCGTGACGGAACAACTGTTGGCCGATACCTTAAAGGCGGTTGTGGGAGCGCTTTACATATCTTCTGACGAAGAACGCGCGTTTATGTTTGTTAGAGACTTTGTTTGTACGCAGCTGAACCAACAGGACGTAAACGAGTACTGGAACTTTGAAGATCCACTGGAACTGCTGAAGGAGTACTGCAAAGAGAAGAAACTAGGCGAACCAGAACCCCGTTCGATTGGGCTGGTTGGAAAGAATACTCTACTGGCCACGCATAGGGTGGGCATTTACTGTAACAAACAGTTCGTCGGTTCGGGCTACGGCGAGGATGTCGATACGGCCATCGATGAAGCGGCGCGGGACTGCTTGCGGCAACTCTTCGGTACCGAGTTGAATCGGAAACCATTTGACTTCGGTTTGCAGCTGGCTGACGTGGCGAGGCATTTGAAGCAACGTGCGGGCAAGCAAAACTGAGTTGTTCGGTAAATAGTGTTACTTGTGAAATATATAGTTGATTAAATCTTGTAAAATACAGAAAGGGTTTCTTTTGTGGAAGAAATTTACTTGTCCCACTTCCGTAATTTTCTGGTGACATTAGAAATCATTCCACGGCATTTTTATAGAATATGAATATATTCATATAATCACCTCTTCCATAATTCGATTGTAACGGATCTTTTGAATAGACAAAACAAAATTTTGGTGTGGAAAATCCGTTTCGATCGAAATACGGTGTAGACAATACTACAGTATTGTCTACACCACTGTGTCGGTGCTTTCATCCCGGCTTCCATCTATTAACGTCTCTTTAAACTGTTCCCCTGGTAGAGGAGAATTAAGTTCATTCGAGACGAGAATGTCAGTGGTGAACTGCGAAATGTATCGCAAATACCTTTTTTCGTGAAGAAGTCTGCTCGAGGAATTGGTACCTATAGCATATGTTAGTGGCTTATGATCAGTAAGGATGCAGAACTTACGACGCTCCAAGAAATGACGGAAGTATTTGACCGCCATCTTCATAGCTGTGAGTTCCCGACCGAAGGTTGAATAATTTGTTTGGGAATCCGAAATCTTTTAGGAATAGAATCCGAGAGGCTGCCATGCGGATGCAGATAGCTGTTGAAGCACCGCACCCGCGGCATTGTTGGATGCGTCGATCATTAATGCAACAGCGCGGAATTCGCCAACGACTTTTTGCATCGCTCAACAGCTGCTATTGCAGAATCGTTCCACTCAATCACCCTGGTATCGTTCTTTTTATTGTCAGGTATCAGCTTTCGTAATTCCATATGTACCATATGCTCTTCAAGCGACGTCGGTGCAATACAGATGTCATCGATAAAAACAACTACGAAGTCTAGGTCACCGAACATTTTATTCATCAACAGTGCTGCAAAATATCAATATCAATACCCACAAAATGCTTGATTTCACTAGCCACCTGATGTCAGTATCAGTTCACACAGTTAAAATTTCAATATCATTCGCCTCAATGTCAGTGCGCAAATGACATTGACATCGTGAAGGGAGCACTGATATTCAAAGTTCTACCGCAAATGTTTCTTATATACGCCAGCTAATCGAGGACCGATCTTTAGAAAATTCATCAGTAATATTAAAACAATGCAACGGTTATACAAAAAGGTTAATTTATTGAGATAAAAGTAAGATTTTCAACTTTTCCCTAGTGATATTCATATGGATAGTAATATCAAAGACCTATGCCTGATATTATGCTTATTACGAATATCAGTATAGGAAGTGAAATTCAGTGCTAGACCAATATCTTACGTCAATTGACATTGTTGACAGCACGCGGCACTGTTCATGAAACATTGGAACGATTGGCTTGCGTTGCATAAGCCGAATTGCATTTGGGTGAACACATACAACCCGAATGGAATAATCAGCCGTTTCAACAAGTATCTGGTGATAAGCCCTTTCCAAATCTAAGGTAGTGCAAATGATCTTACCTTGAAGTGAGTTGAGCAGATCGTGCACGTGAGGTACGGGATAGCGATCCGGAACGGTGACCTTGTTCAGCAGTCGATAGTCTTCAACGAACCTCCACTTTCCGTCCTTTTTTGGGACTCAGTGCAGCGGACTAGCCCAGCTGCTGCTAGACGGTCTGCAGATACCCAGCTCCGACATCAACGTGAATTCCCCTTTTGCTGCTTTCAACTTGTCCGGGTGCATTCTCCTCATTTTCGATGCAACCGGAGGCTCCTTGGTTACAATGTGGTGCGAGACATCGTGTCGAATAACCGCTTGCATCGTTGCCGATATTCCATTAGCAGCTCGTGGAATGGATGATCCAGAGATGCTGTGGATGTTTGTGGTCATCATGTCACTAGTGGACTGCAGGTTGGTCTTGGCATCGACTAGCCTCCTGTTTCTAAGGTCGACTTGCAATCCGAAGTGTGCCAAAAAATCGGCATTGATTATCGTGTGGCTGACATCGGACACCAAAAAGTTCCACGTGAAGCGTCTTTGTTTTTTTGACGTAGGACTACGTCTTTCGGGAAGATGAGGGTACACTTTATGGAAACCGAAAAATGAAGTTATGAAAGATTTTGAACGTTAATAACTTAGCTGCCCATAGACCAATTTCAATAATTTTATCACCAATCGATCAGAAACATTTCTACGCATCGATAACAATGCTGTCGACTGTTAATTTTCAAATTGAAACTATTGAAAAAGTGGCAAATGTCAAGCATTGTCCAAAAGCTTCGAAATAGATTACAAATCCACCAATTACGTACATGCATATGCTGCTTCCCCAACACAGTCATCAGAGCATCGTTCCTAGATGAAACAAGTCGAAGTGACATTCACCTCCGATTTTTGGGCGTGTAAAGGGTGATACGGTCAAAATTTGGTCAATATCAACTTGACGTATTTCTTTCAATTTTGCATTTAAAAAACCTGAACACCCCTCATTTTGAAGGTGTGTGTGTGTAGAATGTTGCTCCTATTTTGATTTTGGAATTCACTCTTCAGTTGTCAAAATGCCGTCCAAGCAAGAAGAGCAGCGTATCAAAATTTTGCATCGCGAAAATCCGAGCTACTCGCACGCAAAGTTGGCAAAATCGCTAAAAGTTGCCAAATCAACCGTTACAAATGTAATTAAAGTGTTTGGGGAACGTTTGTCGACAGCCAGGAAGTCTGGATCGGGGGGAAATCGAACACCGGAAGCCGCTGAGACGACAAAGAGAGTTGCCGGTAGTTTCAAGCGAAACCCTAACCTCTCTCTCCGAGATGCCGCAAATAAGCTGGGTGTATCGTCTACAACCGTGCATCGAGCCAAAAAACGAGCCGGACTATCGACTTACAAGAAGGTAGTGACTCCAAATCGCGATGATAAACAAAATACGACGGCCAAAGCGCGATCCCGGAGGCTGTACACGACGATGCTGACGAAGTTTGACTGCGTGGTAATGGACGACGAAACCTACGTCAAAGCCGACTACAAGCAGCTTCCGGGACAGGAGTTTTATACGGCAAAAGGAAGGGGAAAGGTAGCAGATGTTTTCAAGCACATGAAACTGTCAAAGTTCGCAAAGAAATATCTGGTTTGGCAAGCCATCTGTACCTGTGGCTTGAAAAGCAGCATTTTCATAGCTTTCGGGACTGTCAACCAAGAAATTTACGTGAAAGAGTGTTTGAATAAACGTCTGCTGCCTTTCCTGAAGAAACACGGTTGTTCCGTACTGTTTTGGCCGGATTTGGCATCTTGCCATTACGGTAAAAAGGCCATGGAGTGGTACGCCGCCAACAACGTGCAGGTGGTTCCCAAGGACAAGAACCCTCCCAACACGCCAGAGCTCCGCCCAATTGAGAAATACTGGGCTATTGTCAAGCGGAACCTAAAGAAGACCAAAAAAAAAACTGCTAAGGGCGAGCAGCAGTTCAAGGCAAACTGGCTTTCTGCGGCGAAGAAGGTGGACAAGGTGGCTGTACAAAATCTGATGGCAGGGGTCAAGCGTAAGGCCCGGCAATTCGGATTTGGAAAAGCGGAAGCCTAACTGAATATTTTTCCTGAATTTTATACTAATTGAACTTGAAAAAGAAATTTAATTTGATTTTTTAAATAAACGATTTCACCGATTTACACGCGTTTTCCCTTGACCAAATTTTGACCGTATCACCCTTTACGAATAGGGAGGATACAATTGCGGAACATTTTGCACACTCATTGTAGCGTCATCGGAAGTTCTGCGTGATAACATCCAGGGCCTGCCATCCGTCGTTTGGCTCGACGTGGTTGTGTCAAGCGTATTTCCGGTCTGATCTACGAGGAAACCCGAGGTGTGCTGAAGGTGTTCCTAGAAAATATGATCCGTGATGCCGTCACCTACACTGAACACGCCAAGTGCAAAACCGTCACGGCCATGGATGTCGTCTACGCTCTGAAGCGACAGGGACGCACTCTGTACGGTTTCGAAGGTTAAAACTTATCACCAACGTAACAAAACGACCCATTTCAGGGCCACCAAGTTCATTTCAGAAAAGAGTTAAAATAGAATTTATATAGAGTAACCCATTCAATTTGTCCCTAATGATACAAAAATCAAATAATCAAATATTTCAAACAACCGGACCCATGGCGGCCGTCATCACGCAACGAACGAATCTGATGTCAAAGCAGGATTATTGTGCAATGGTGCGTGTCACTAACCCAGAGCAGAGAGATCTGATGCTGCAACTCATCGATAGCTTGCATAGCTTCGATGGGGATAGAAAGCCCTTGCAGATCTTTTTCACTGGACCTGCGGGATGTGGCAAAACATTTACACTTCGCATCCTGATTGAGACTATAAACTGCTTCAGCCAGACACACAACAGTCAGAACAATGCATGTGCTTCAACTGGTAAAGCTGCCATTGCGATTGGTGGAACCACAGAAGATGATCCCCATTAGCCTATCATCAAGCTTTGGATCAAATTCGAAGGGGAATCTATCGGGAAGGCACTTCGTGTAAAATCAAGACCAGCAGTTTACTCAAAACCCGGTATTATTCAGTCTGACTGGACACCAATTAGTAAGCGTTCTACGAACATAAAATTGAGCAGCATCATCAAATGCAAGCGGATCTAGTTTCCTGTGGTGAGCAGAGTGCCCTTTTCGTGCCCAAGTCACAAGGCGGTACGTTTTCGAAGATTGTGTACGAGTACGATAAAGGGCAAGAACAACATCTGGTATACGTTGGGCTTTCCAGAGTCACATCCATCGAAGGATCGTACTTGACGAATGCCAGAAATGTGTTCAAGTTTCATCACGTGAAGGGAACTTCCTCACCGAGGATACAAGAGCTGCGAACAGAGCTTCAGCGCTAGTCTAATCACCGGCTTCGAACCGTTAGACAGGAGATCGTTGAGATGCTAGAGATCCGTAACTTTGCGTGCAAAGTGATGAGTATGACTGTGCAAAGTCTCAATGCACACTCATCAGATATCGCTTTTGATCATGTAATGACTGGTGTGGATTTGCTGACTCTGAGTGAGACGTGAATGGATGACAATGCATCAGTTGAAATAGCCGGATTTAACTGCGTAGTGCAGTCAAAGCGTGCTGGTACGAGAGCTGGAGGAGTTGCAATCTACCAAAAGGACAGTGACTCCACTAAGGCTAATTCTCAGACTATCGAAAAGCTTAGTGAACACCACGACGAGCTACTGAGGGTTGCCGACGAAAATGGTGACATTTGTGCTGCTGAAATTACCGCCAGTAACACCAAAGCGTTGCTGGTTTGCGTGTATATTTCACCAGGTAATTAAAATAAGAAAATCTTGTATCCTTAATCTAAAATTCTCATTCTCATTAGGTACCACAATCAAGCAGAAGAAGTTCTTCTTGACACGTCACCTGATGATGTCTACTATGCCCTTCATCGTCACTGGAGATTTCAACATCGATGTTTCGAAGCAGGATAATGTTGAGTTCATCGATTTTATGTTGAAATATCTTCGGTTGAATTTGGCATCTAGCCCGTCCCAAGCGACCACCCTTGGCGGTTCATGTATTGACCTGACGTTTTTCAGAAATATTCGGGCAGAGTGTATGCGGTACTGTTCGTACTTCTCCTATCAAAGGCCAATTCTGTCGATACTGGAAATCTAAAATTGTGGTAAGTTTTATATCCAACTCGATATCACAAACGAAACATTTCACTAATCTTCTTGTATACACGCACTTTTCATTCGCTCCACAGCTGTATCATCGATGCCATCCATCATGCCTAAGGTCAATCATCAATCCTTCATAGTGTCATGTTCTCGATCGTATTGCAGGGTCTCCATATTGCCCAAGGCTTCCAACACTCCCAGTACAACGATCTCGGAAGGCATTTCATCAACCATCAACTGGTTATACCCACCCGAACCATCGGCCCTCTTCAGGGCCACCACAACTTTCTACAAAAGAGTTGAGTCATGAAATTTTGTAGTCCTACATCAACAATGCGGTCGTGTCTTGTACACCACCCTTCAACTTTTTTTTAGATCGGTTGAAATGAACTTATATGAACTTCAACAGATCGAACGATTTGCCGCATGGAGCACGAAAGGCATTGGTTCTGAAAGTTTTTATTTTCTCGTTGCTGGTACTATCGACACTTCTCGGAACCCGTATCGATTAGGAAGCAAAGTCCACTCGTTTTATCAAATAACTTGAGACGCCGGCTAGTACAAACTTCACTCACCTCCGCTGACTCAGGTGAGCAGATTTTTAGTTTTTTGGTTGCTTGTAATGACATGGTTGCTTGCATCGCTGGGCTTGGCGGCCGTATTTACGATGATACCAGCAGGTTTCGTTCCCCATCCTGGACCGTGATGCCGAACGACTACGACGACCATCAGAGCCACTTCTGCGACGTGGGGTGATTCCATCATTTTGGTCGGCCATCTCAGCCAGTTTTGTCAAGTTTCCATCGATAAATTGTCATAATCGGTCAAACGTGCGGTGGCATACGTTGAACGAATAGCATTTTGAGGAGATTGTCATTTGTATTCAATCCGGTGGCCAATTCCTGCATTTTAGCCGATAGATCCGTTGGACGCACGTCGCCAAGATCAGTAGACCCGAGGAGCCGTTCCAAGCGGGCTTCCGGCGAGAGTGCGTATCGGGCAATCAAGCGATCCTTTACCGCCTTATATTTCTCCTGCTGAGGTGGATTCGAGACCAAGTCAGCAATGTGGCAAGTTACTGACTGATCCACCTTTGCCACTATGTGGTAAAATTTAAATTCATCCTTTGTTACGCTCCCGAGGATGAATTGCGCTGCGCTAACCACATTTCCGGATCTGTTTTCCAGAATTCCGGAAGTTTGACGGAAACAAACGCTGCCTGCTGATTTTCGTTTTGCGACATTTTGAGGTTAGGAAACCGAAACCGAAGCTGACGGAAAATTCGACCGGATTTTGACGAACTCCGTATGCGCGGGTTTCCGAGAAGTCGCGATATCACGTCGGGGTCACCAATGTGGCGAAAGGATACGAATGGAACACGTTTGTGATTAATAATAACTTCCTTTTTATTCACTGCAAATTGTTCTTCTACTCTCTATCGTCACACGAATGACTTCTTCTCTTCCTCGCTTCTTCTCATGACGTTTTTTCCATATGGACGCGTCAACAATTACGTCCCATAAACTTATTGAAAAGCAAGGAATTATGTAGAAGTTCAGGGATCTTCGTAGAAGCTCGGCTAGATTTTTGGGAATTTCGTGGAATTCAGGTAGTTTTGTAGATGGGAATATTGTAGAAATTCAACATGATGTTCTGATATCATGGTCAAATTTCCAGGAACAATGAATGAAAAATATATTTACAAGTTCAACAATCTAGAAAAAAAATGTTGTAGTTCGTGTAAGCTATAAACAAATCGTATAAGTTCAGAAAACTTCGTAGAAGTGGACGCAACTTTCCAGAAAATCGCAGAACTTTCCACAAATTTAGTAAACTCTGGTATAAGTTAAATGGATTGGTATTTATTTCTAAAATTCTCTGGAGTGGGCCAGCTGTAGGTCTGGGGAGGTGGCTTTATTTACTTCAATGGTTCTGGAACCACTTTTTCGTCGAATTGATACACCATGTATCGCGGAATGTACTCTTTCGAGTCAACTTCGGTGTTTTCTTTTTCATCCCGGATATTGATCCCCGTGCCATTGAAGACCTCCTCGTAGCTTGGTGGCGCTGTGAGAAATTTAAACAGATTTATTGGAATAATTTCGTTGTTGTTTGTAGCAACTATTGAGTACTCACGTAAGTCAGCAAGGAAGTTTGGAGCTTGTGGGTCCGAAGCTGATGCCATTGGTGGGACCATTATTGGGTCAGCTTTGCTTGTTATATTTTCAAAGGTCGGAATAGCGCTCGGCGTCAACGGGATCGTGCCCAAGGTGATTGGGATTTGTATTTTAGGATTGATGGTTGGGTTGGCGATTTTACCTTCCACCTCGACGAAATAGTCAACCATTATTATCGGGCAGGTGTTGCTCGTCGGAGGAAGCGATGGTATGTAGAGGTGTTGTACGTAGCTTCCTCTTTTCTGTTTTTTAACTCCGGCGCATCGGACTTTGGCCATGGTAGCGGACACTGTTTTCACTTTTGTGTACGGACTTTTACTGGTGTAGGTCATGACGCAAAGTAGTTTGATTATGAGTTCCTCTAGGTTTTTCTTGCTTCGGTTGTCGACTTCAATTTTGACTACAATAGTTTGTCCCGAGACGTATCCTGAAATGGGTGTTTCAGCTTTTAAGACCATTGGTGCTGAGCTGCAGGGTCCACAGCAGAAAGTCTTGGACTTTTCCATTTCCACCGGTAGACATACGTTAAAGTTGTTTTCGTTCAGGTTGACATGACGCAGCACCGTGAATGCCACCTTGTAGGAATGATCAACCTTCCAGGGGCGTTCCAGAATGACCTTCACCGTGTACCGGATGTGTCCGTGTTCTGCTTCCAATGAGCTATCCAGGTTGAGTGGTAGGACATATGAAAACCGATACGTATGGATGCCTGGCAGCAGATCAATGTTGTTTCCATCCTTGTATCCGGCCAGATTCTCTGTGAAGTTCATGTAGTCTTGTCGATTTTGGAAGTAAACTGGATAATGGCTTTGCCCATTGCTATGGTACTCGGTCCAACTCACTTTGGCTTCTCCCTTAATTTGTAAAGCAACACCTGAAACAATGAATATTTCACTGCAGAGCCTGTCTGAAAAAAATGGCATTTAGCAATCATACCTTTCACCTTCATCGCCTCTTCGAAATTTAGTTCCACGCTTCCGGATAGGGTTTGACCCGGAAAGTATACTCCGTAAGAATTGTCATCAAACTTGATTTCGCAGATTTTCGACATATTGCACGGGAACGTCTAACCTCTGAAACTGCCACCTTTGTACTGTAACTGGCGATTGATTCATTGCCTGTATAATAGACTAAATTGCAAAACGATGTAGCTAGCTACACATCAAAATATTAAGCAAGTGATTTTATCTTATATCTGATAAGATTTATTTCCAGTTAGCCTGCGTATGAGCGTTATCTTAACTTCCGGTAAAATGTGTTCAATCAAGTTGTAATCCTTACTAGGGTAAACGCTCCTATAAATGCGGTACGCTTCTAACCTCTTTTAACGTACCGCAACTATAGGAGCATTTACCCTACATAAATATCACGTTTATTACATGTGGTGACGCACTGTTATGGTGGTAAGCTGTATGGATTTATCTGCAAAATGTTTGTCATGTTGATTAACGAAAAACGTGTCGAAATGGGGATGAAGGGTATGTTTTCCTTAATTTCTCGTGACATAATTAATGTATCATGGGCCTCATGCACTGTAGGAAATCAAAAATAGGAAAATTTACCTTTTTTAACTCAGATTCTGGAATACTCTATCAATAGTAAACACTTTGACTAAGAAGTTCCCAACCAAGCCCACATTAAACTATCAACGAACCAGCAAAGTTATTGAGATGCAACTGAGTTTATGACATCAAATAACCTGGAATAATCAGAATTATATGGCGAATAATCCGAACAAAGCATTCAGTTTTGTAGACCATTCATCCTGCAATTCGTGAAAGAGAATAGAGCGATATTCTTTGCTACAAAACAAGAGAAGTAAGTCTATCCAACGTAGATACCGTAATCTATAATATTTCGTATCGTATGAATATAAAGCAATGGAAAGTTTTACACCCATGTAAAGAACAGAACCGACAAAGAAAAAAAAAAACAAGTAACGGCGCAGCTTTATGAAAAAAAAAATGGAGTTAGAGTTGATCAACCAAGATCGGGAGCACTACACAGGTAACGTTTGTCGACGAGGATTCGCAAATCCTCATCTTTTAAGCAGCGTTTTAAATATCGACGAAGAATTAATTATGAGGTTTCGAAACATTTTAATTACTAACAACCATCAGAAGTCAATTAATCCAGAAAAAAATGATGCCTATTGCAAAGACACATACCGACTTTATCTTTCTTTATATGATTGGTATAAAATTCCTGCAACCTTACATAAAGTACTTGCTCATGCTGAAGAGAAATAACAATTCATTCGCCAGCTCCTCTTGAAATATTAGTAGAAGAAGCAGCAGGAAGTCAGCATAAACAGCTGAAAAATATCGAACTCACCATGCTAGAAAACGATCCAGAGTCGAAAATTTACATTTACATTCGGACAACGATTGAATCAGATCCATTCATAAGTACCATTTGGATGGAGAAAACTGAAAACTGCTCAACAGTCGGTGATGATAACTGCAATGCATTGCAAGAACTTATGGAAGCTGTCGACGAAGTTGAAGAAGATTTTGCTAGTGATAATATCAGTGCTGAACAGCGAATCCAAACACATAAAGCAACCAACGATACAGACAAAACGGTTGCTGCGACTACCATGACAAACTCGCTCTGTAACATAGCTCGATCCGAGTGGTAGAAGGATAATGATATATTCACAGAAGTGGAACTTCGGATCAGAAAGTGGCTTCACTTGTCATTTGTGAACACTAGCGCACCTAGCGGTAGAAGGCATCTTCTGCCTGCAGTTAAGATAGGCAGCATCCTATGATAGTGTGAGTGCATATAGAAAGCCCGTGTGTTATTATTATTATTAATTATTTTGTTGGACATTTGTGCTAAAGTCTCAACATTCGAAATTCTATGTACTTCGGTTGTACTGTACCAGGGAGGCAACTTCAAAATCATTTTCAGAATTTTGTTCTGAATCCTTTGAAGTGCTTTTTTCCTGGTAGTGCAGCAACTAGACCATATTGGCACAGCGTAAAGCATGGCCGGTCTAAAAACTTGTTTAAATATTAGAAGTTTATTCGTCAGGCAAAGTTTGGATTTCCTGTTTATAAGAGGATACAAACATTTTATATATTTGTTACATTTGGCTTGAATGCCCTCAATGTGATCTTTAAAAGTTAATTTTTGGTCAAGTATTAATCCAAGATATTTCACTTGGTTTGACCAGGAAATTGGAACTCCGTTCATAGTGACTATGTGACTACTACTAGGTTTCAAAAACGAAGCTCTAGGCTTATGTGGAAATATTATAAGTTGAGTTTTGGAAGCGTTGGGAGAAATCTTCCATTTTTGTAAATAAGAAGAGAAAATATCTAAACTTTTCTGCAGTCTGCTGCAAATAACACGAAGACTTCTTCCTTTAGCGGAAATGCCTGTGTCATCAGCGAACAAAGATTTGTGGCAACCCTGAGGCAAATCAGGGAGGTCCGAAGTGAAAATGTTATACAATATAGGCCCAAGAATGCTACCCTGAGGAACTCCTGCCCTAACAGGTAGTCGATTAGATTTGGAATTTTGATAATTTACTTGAAGAGTTCTGTCAGTTAAATAATTTTGAACTAATTTCATAATATAAAGTGGAAAATTAAACTTTTTCAATTTAGCAATCAAACCTTCATGCCAAACACTGTCGAATGCTTTTTCTATGTCTAGAAGAGCAACTCCAGTTGAGTGGCCTTCAGATTTGTTTGAACGAATTAAATTGTTAACTCTTAAGAGTTGATGATTAGTTGAATGCCCATGGCGAAATCCAAACTGCTCATCTGCAAAAATTGAGTGCGTATTGATGTGAAGCATCATTCTATTCAAAATTATCTTTTCAAAAAGTTTACTTATTGAAGAAAGCAAACTTATTGGACGGTAGCTAGAAGCTTCAGCTGGATTTTTATCCGGCTTCAAAATTGGAACAACTTTTGCATTTTTCCATTTATCAGGAAAGTATGCCAAATGGAAACATCTGTTAAATAATTTTACCAAGAAAGACAAGGTACTCTCTGGGAGTTTTTTGATGAGGATATAGAAAATTCCATCATCACCTGGAGCTTTCATATTTTGAAAATTTTTAGTTATAGACCTTACTTCGTCCAAATCAGTCCCCCAGGAATCATCAAAAATATTTTCCCGAGAGAAAATATTCAGAAAATCCCGAGCAACCTGATTCTCAATAGGACTAGTAAGACCCAAACTGAAATTATGGGAACTCTCGAATTGCTTAGCAAGTTTCTGAGCTTTTTCCAAATTTGTCATCAAAATTTTATCACCTTCTTTAAGCGCTGGAATAGGCTTTTGAGGTTTTTTCAAAATTTTTGTGAGTTTCCAAAAGGGTTTGGAACTCGGGTCTAATTTAGAAATATTATTTTCAAAAGTTTTGTTCCTCAGGGCAGAGAATCGCTTTTTAATTTGTTTTTGCAAATCCCGCCAGATAACTTTCATGGCAGGATCGCGTGTTCTTTGATATTGTCTCCTACGGACATTTTTAAGACGGATCAAGAGCTGAAGATCATCGTCTATTATAATTGAATCGAATTTAACCTCGCATTTTGGTACTGAGGCAGCTCTTGCTTCAACTATAGAAGTAGTCAGAGATTCAAGAGCATAATTAATTTCATCTTTGGTTTGCAAAGGAATGTTTGGATCGAAGTTATATTCCATAAATGTTCGATACTGCTCCCAATCAGCTCTATGGTAATTGAAAGTAGAGCTGTTGGGATTACAAATTATTTCTTGGGATATTTCAAAAGTTACTGGAAGGTGATCAGAACCGAAGTCAGCATGGGTAACCAATTGGCTACAAAGTTGACATGAATCAGTTAAGACCAAATCAATAGTGGAGGGATTTCTTGCAGAAGAAAAGCATGTTGGGCTGTTTGGATATTGAATAGTGTAATAACCTGCAGAACAATCATCAAACAGAATATTACCATTGAAATTGCTTTGAGCATTATTCCATGAGCGGTGTTTTGCATTAAAATCACCAATAATGAAGAATTTAGACCTATGACGGGTAAGTTTCTGGAGGTCACCCTTGAGAAAATTCTTTTGCTGGCCTACGCATTGGAATGGCAAATAGGCAGCTATAAACGTAAGTTGTCCAAATTTTGTTTCAACAGAAACTCCCAAAGTTTCAAAAACTTTGGTTTCAAATAAAGAAAGAATTTTATGCTTGATTCGTCTATGAATAATGATGGCAACGCCACCACAGGGTCCATCAAGACGATCATTTCTATAAATCAAGTAATTTGCGTCCTTCTTAACCTTATGGGCAGGTTTAAGGAACGTTTCAGTTATAACGGCAATATGCACGTTATGAACTCTTAAAAAGTTAAATAGCTCGTCTTCATTATCTTTAAGAGATCGAGCATTCCAATTTACAATATTTAATGCTTTAAAATCCATTACTGAATTTTAAAGTCATGACAATATTATTTGCAAATTTTACTCCAGTTTGAATAGCATCAAACATGGAGTTAGATTTAAGCATATCAGAAATCATGTCAATTAATGAATTCTGTAAAAATTCCATTTTGGGGGCAGTAATGCTTCCTAAGTCAAAATTGTCAAAATTTCCGTTAGAACGTTGGTTAGTATTTTGATTTCTACCCGCTGCAATAGCAGCATAGGTAGCTCCATTAACTCGCTGAACATTGTTAGCAGCGAGGGGAGTAGGTACAGATGAAACATTTGAAGCAGGGGAGATATTTGTACCTACGGGTACGAATGTAGAATTTGTTCCTCGCTGACCGTTGTTAACAACAGAGGAATTTGTACCTGGTCGGAAACGTGGAGCGTTTCCTACCTGACGGTTAGAACGAGATTGTAGGATCGCTTTGCGAGTCTTACATTCCCAAAAATTGGATTTGTGGTTTTCACCACAATTTGAACATTTAAATTTCTTAGGATCTTCCTTCACAGGACAGTCGTCCTTTGCGTGAGAGGAATCACCACAATTCATGCATTTAGCTGGCATGTAGCAATTTTTAGTTCCGTGACCCCATCCCTGGCATTTACGGCACTGGGTGAGGTTTTGGAAATTTCCTCCAGTCTTCCTGAAGTGTTCCCACTTCACTCGGACATG